TGCGCCACCGGGGAGGGCCCTCTATAACTACTGCTTTTAGTACATGAATATACATGAAGTTGCTTGCACCTCGCCACTAAATAAACAAAAGCATTAGCCTTTCTTTGGGAAAGGCTGGGAACACCATGAACAAGATGTTGAGCGCCTAAGGGTTCTGTGAAGTGAGGACACTTGAGAACCCTGATCCGGTGAGTTGTTTAACTGTCCCCATCAGAGTCAGTGGTGCCAGCCCTATGTTTTACTGTCCGGGCTCCCCAGGAGAGGCCCCTGAGTAGATCTCAGCTCCCTTCGAGGGCAGAGGACTACATGAACTGTCCTCTTCCATGGCCCTGAGGACCTGTGTGTGGGAATTTTGGCGGGCCGGGGGGGAGTGGAGGAGGGTGTTTTTATATTTTATTACAGTAGCTTTGGTTTACCGCACAGTGTGTTATTCTGAGAACTATATTCACACCTACACAGGCGTTTGTCACCACAGCCACCACCAGAGTGTCCATGTCCCTCTGCCACTTACCACTGGGTCTCTTCCCCTTTTCTGGATTTTATATCCTACTTTTGGATATACGATGGGTGCATGAAGAATCTGACTAGAGTGCTGGGTGGATGGCTCAGAGATGCCATCCCTGTGGGTGGCTGCTCCAGTCTACCCCCCTTCCCAAGGGACTCTCCCCATATCCTGCTGATCCTAGGATTTGTCTTGCACATTTTTGTCAGTCTAATAGGTAAGAAGTGATTTCTCATGTTAATTCAGTTTGTGCTTCTCTCATTCCTAGTGAATTTGAGCCTCTCTTCATACTATACTCAATGGCCACTTGACATTTCCCATTCGGTGAATTTCCTGCTTATAATACTTGCCCATTTTGCAATTGGGAATTTTGTCTTTCTCTTGGATTGGCACTTGTTTCTTATATTTCAAGTCATGAGTTGCCAGTCAGTTTTAGAGATTGCAAATACCTTCCTCCAAAATGTCATTTATCTGCTGACATCAGCCCTTGGATGACTAGAAGTCTTTAATAACTTGATTATAGAAAGTCCATCAATATTTTACTTCCTTGTCTAGGTTATTTGATCATATTTAAGAACTATTTTTCCTTTTCCAGGTCACAAAGCTATTATCTGACATTTTCTACAAAGACATTAACCTGCATTTTCTTCAATTAGCAAGGTCTTTGATTTTTAATCAAACACCTAGATAGAAAGGTATATATAAAGGTATTTATATCTAGGTGTTTGGCCACTGAATAAATTACACCCTAATACAGATATCAGTGAAAACTAATCCACTGAAGGGTCAGCAATAGAAGTAAGCATTTCAGAGAGAGAAAAACTTTTCATTTAGCAAGTACAGTAATGAAAACTCATTGTGAAATAGGAAAATCAAGACAAATCCAAATCTAGTCTCCAATGAGACAACCACAGAATACCTCTTTGAAGTTGGCCAGTACAACATAGATTTTTCTCGAAGTAAACATGGATTTTTCTCACTGTAAATCTTTTTTTTTTTTTTGCAAAAATCTGAAGGACTTTTGCTTTCTTCATAGAGATCCTTTTTTTTTTAATTTCAATATATTTTATTCTTTGTATAAAAATAGCTGGCAAGTTTATTTTTATCCCAGTCAACCTTGAGCTATGTTCTTTAGCTCCTTTTAACTATTGAGACCACCAAGCTTAGGCAGATTTTCCAAAAGGAGTAGTTTTGTTTTTTTTTTAAGAGATTTATTTATTTATGTATTCAAGAACTGGGGTACGGGCCAGAGGTGCGGGGGTGGTGAGAGGATTCACCAGAGACAGAGTGGGGAGCAGAACAGGCAGATTGATGAAGTACACTGCTGAGGGGAGCAGCGGGCAGGTCAGGAGAGGTCTGCCACACCATGTGGGTCACCTCCAGGGTGGGGATTGAACTCATGCTGAAGTGGCTTTAGTTTCTCAGTGCTGTACTTTAACCTGCTGCACCACCAGGGAGGGCCCCCAAAAGGAGTAGTTTTAAGAATGAAAAGCTAGGGGTATACTGTTAGCTTTTATTCCTATCCTTTCCAAGTCTAAGATGAAGACTTGAGACTCAGAAAGTAAAAAATAATCATAAATTAGGTTATGAAATAAAGCAGTCATAACTCAGTTACACTACATTATATCTGTGTGCAATTTATTATGAGTTCGCCTTAGGATATGTTAAAAATTAAATAATTCTTTTCTCTGTTCCATCTCAAAGGTGGTAGAAATTCTTTGCAGGTTCAGTGGGAAGCTATTATGAGTGAAAAAAATGTTTTGAACTATCTCCCCTAGCAGGGCCAACGTCACGCAGATTTGTTTGTCCAGGTTTGAGAGTGGGGGTGAGACCTGCCTCCAGTTAAATGAGTAACTGATAACTCTGAGGTTAAGATCTTTATTAGCTGAGTTTGTATTTATGTCTGAAGAAAAGTCTGATGAACTTTGAAGCTTAAGCAAATAGATTCTGAAGAGCTCTAAGGAGAAAAGTGCTTATTTTCACCTAAGTGCTCTATGTGTTTGTATTCACCTTAGAGGCACATTTGATTTAGGAAATTAAATGTTGCTGTGGGTATCTTCTGCTTTTACTGTATTTGTCCCGTGGATTTGCCTCTCCCGAACCACGTCAGCATTTGAGACAGATAATTTAACTCAGTAATTCTGTATATATGAAAGTTCTGGAAAGATATACAAACTATTAACCATTATCTGTGGGATTAGGACTTAGAAGCTGTTGGTATTCCATGTCTATGTCATGGCAGTCAGCAGCCACCTTGGAGGAAAGGAAGGGACACTGAGAAGAGCTTAGGGGTGCCATTAATTTCCTCCCTTGATAGAGATGATGGACACTATGTGCTTTGTGATAATTCATAAGACATTATAGTAAGTGACTTCTGCATTTCTCTGTAGTGTATTCAATTTAAAGGCTTGTAGATTGAAGTAAAAATAATTTCAGAATATAATGTACACCAGAAAGCATTAATAGACAGAGGGATAATGCTTAATGATAAAAGAACCATCTATAATTCACTCACTATTTCTTCAGTCACACCTACTCTAATTTTTCTCTGTTGTGCTAGTATTCATTTCCAGGATTTATGGTGTCATTTTCCAGGTTTGTGTTTTAGGAATTTTACTGCTTTGTTTTTGTACATGTCAAACAAAGATAAATTCCTTCTCAGGGAGCTATGTCACCCCTAGATGGTAAATTAACGGTAAAGCCGCCTTTATTGTTCCTGCTTTTAAGCCAATTTGTGTCCTCATGTGCCCAGGAATTTTTGCTGACGTCTACTTTTTAGTGAGATTCCCCTTCCCTAAAAAGCCCTGAGAGTTCTGTGCGATCATGACAACATCGCTATGAACCTGCTTACTGCTTGCTTCTGCCAGGACCTTACACGGTTCCAGCAAAGTAACTGGAGACGAGGTGTCTGAGCATGGATAATAGGTCGGCCGTCACGGTACACAGCCTTCCGCAAGGAGCAGCATGGGAGGCCTTTAATGCATTCCATCTTCCTCCTTTTTCTGGTCCTTCTGAACCCCACCTTGTGGTTCCTGGGCTCCAGGCAATCCTCGGAACTTGGTATAAAATGAGGCCACCAGAAATGCGCTGAGAAGGGAAGGAGTGGTCACCAGTGTCCTACTGTCTCAAGTGGGAGCACATGCCCAAAGCAGCGTGCCCTCACGTTCTGCTACATTACACACCTGCCCTGGCCGGGAGCCCGGGGCCATGTTGACCTGACCTCCAGGAGAACAGATACTCCCGTCAGGCCTCATCTCAGCAGCTCTGGGATTAGACCAGAGCGCCTCCTGCTCCCCCACAAGTTGAAGGGAGAAAAAGAAGAGCCCCACCCGGAGCTTGCCTCCCAAGGAGAGAGGACGTGGAAGCCAGGGCCTATCCCACAGGTCCTGGGTCTCACTAATGGCAGAATCTGGCCTGGGGCTGGCTGGAAAGGGCAGGATGATGCTCAGGGAAGCTGGAATAAAGGGCTGGAATGTAAAGGCTTATCCTCTGCAGCAGTGGAGGTCAGAGGTCAGCCAGACTCTGACCTCTGGGAAGGTACTCCCAAGGAGAAAGCTGAAATGGTTAATCCCCAAGGAAAAACGCAGTGAACGAGTCTTGTGCGATGGCACACACGGGCCACGGTCTCTCCATTCCCTGACATTCCACACCTGCCTTGACAGGTACACACAGTGCAGCTTGCACTTGAGCTGCAGGCCCCCACCGCATGGCCAGATGCCTAGACCAGAGGATGTGGGTGGCTTGCAGAGTCCTGCGCTTGCCCACTGCTGGCCCTCACACATGTGCCCCACCCTCAACGCCCCATCCAGAGAACTCCTTGCTGCGCACCAGGGTTACCCAAGCACACCAAGGATGCTGGGAGCTGGTCTGACCCACCGTCCTCCACGCCTGAGCCTCTGGATTGTCCGGACACAGCCAATTTTGACCTAGTCACCAACATGTTACCTTTATTAGAATGAATCACACCCTAGCTCCCCCAGAAGGGGTAATTTGGGGATCTCAAAGGCTGGCCTCAGAGCAGGACTGACTCTGTTCCCCAAACTGGTCTAGGCCTGGCAGTCAGCATCTGGAATCCAGGGCCCCACGCCCAGACACTGAACTCCAATCCCAGGTCATCCTGGGCCTGCCCTCAGTCAGCTGCCTCCTCTGCCTGACTAACTGTGTCCTCGTAGGTCTGCCTCATGCTGGAGATGGAGTCTGAGTTGAAATTCTCCATTGTGGCATTGAGAAAGGTGTTCTTGGCCACTTCAGTCATGTCATCACTTGTGAGGTCATCAGTCATTTCCAGGGACAGAGACCTGTAGAAGCCATTAGAGAACAAATAATGAGCAGCCTCTGCGGGAAGCTGAGAAGAGCGGTCCCAAGAGGTGGGCGTCCCAGGCCTGTGGGTGCCCACTCAAGTGTCACCTGGGAGTGACCATGACCTCCAGGACCAGTTTCACTCCTTCTGCTAGCCAGGCTCTCTTCACTCCAAGCCCCAGACTGCATCTTTGAAGTTCTGCCCACCACCTGCCTCGCAGGTATTCACTGAGCATCTGCGCAATGTCAGTCACTGTGCCGACAGGCTTTCGTGGGTTTAATCCTCCCTGAGACACTATGAGGAAAGAAGGCTGGACTTCCTGGCTCTAGCTCTCTATGCCTCCATTTTCTTTAATCTCTAAAATAAGAGACAGTGACCAGATCTTTGCATGGGTTTGCTGTGAGGACTCAGTGTGAAAAGGCATAGATAGAACAGTGCCTCACATGACAAATGCACAGTAAGTGTTTGCTATTGTCAGCACACTGCTATCATTTTGCAAATGAAGAAACAGTTCAGAAGAATTAGGTGACTTCTCTGTGCACATACTAGGACGTGGTAGCAGAGAGAGAAGTCCAGGCCCTTGGGACTCTGTTCTTAACTAGTGTGCCGTTACTCCACTGCACTGCACCCCCATCTCTACAATGCGGCAAACTCCTATTCATCCTTCAAAGTCCTACTCAAGTTTCATTTCCTCTGTGAAACCGGCCCCAACAGCTCAAACTAAAATTTCTCCCTCCTGGAGCACCTATGGGTCCTGCACAGGCCTCCATCAGAGCCTCCCATAATCTATGGCTTGCTTAAGGCCAGGGACCTCTTATCTCTGATAGTCCAGTCCTAGCACAATGCCTAGTACTGGTGTATCAGTGAGTCTGAGAAGGACGGGAGGGAAAGAAAGGATGGTGGGAAAGAGGCAGGAGAAGACTAGAGGCTGTGTTACTGCTGGGGTAGAGTGAAGGGTGCTGGAGATATGAGGCAGCCTCTGCCCACCGCCTCTGGCTCCCTCTGTGGGGAGTGATGGGCTCTGTGGGCCCAAACCCCAAAGGGGTTGTTCTGCCATCATGATAGCTCGTTTCCAGAAGACCAGAAGTTAGGAGTTCCCATGGGGGGGCTGAGGTAAAGTCCAGTTCCTAAATGGGGCCCTGGACTTCAGGGTTGGTCAAGAGGCCAGAGTCATGAGTGAAGATTGATCCTCTTTGAGGAGCGAGGGTTCAGAGGGGAATGGAGAGACACTCAGAGCTGCCCCTGGGCCCTAGAAAGAGATTCCAGAGTGTGCTGGGCAGCCCCAAGTCAGCACCCCTGTCTAGACAGACAGATGGAGGTTAAGAAAGGAGATGGCCTGGGTCAGGAGAGCCAGGTGGAACAGGAACCGGCAGAGGCTGGGCTGGGCAGAGATGGAGGTCACCATCTAGATGAGCTGGGGAGACTGCCATGGACAAAGAGCAGCCCCATGGCACAGGACCTTCTGGCAGAGGGGCAGGGCTGGGCACTTCCTGACATATTCTCAGTGCCAAAGGCTTAAGAATCAGTTAGGGCCCTGCACCTACTTTTTCAATGTGGGTAAGTGCTCCAGGCTGTCAAAGAGGGGTTGGTTTCGCGTTTCCGGCAGCAAGTTGCAGAGCAGCAAAGCCAGGGTGGCTGAGAAACAGCAGAGAAAGCTGGGCAGGAAGTTCTGGTCGTGACTGATGAATGTCAAGCACATGATGACTCCAGCTGCCAAGGCCAGAGTCACCAGCCCCAGACCCGTAGACCTGGAAGAGAAGTGAGAGCTCATCTGGGGTAACCTATAGGCCCAAGAGGTTCAGAGGGTAGAAGAAGCTGATCCCCCAAGTCCTCCTGTGTCTACCCTGACCCAACTCACTGTGCACTTTAGAGAATGGAGAGCTCCATTAACTCAAAGTAGGTAGTAACTTCCTCTGGGCCTACTCCATAGGGCAGGGGGTGTTGGGGGGGGGGGAGTAAGACCCTATGGTGTGCAGGGGAAGACATGGGCAGCCCAGCTGGCAGATAGGATTTTGCTGTCAACCAGAGGGCCCTGTGGTGAAAGGCCCGAGCCTCAGAGAGGCTCTCACCATTCCAGGCTCTGAGCTGAAGGCGGAAACCAGAGTCGGACTGTCCGAGGCTCTGCACTGCTCTGCCTCATCTTGAGCTGGTACCTTGCTCAGTCTGGTTTTGTTGTCTGAAATAGGGCTAGTGATGGCATGCTGGGGTTTGGGGGGGTAAGGGCTAAATGGGGTAATCCTTGTGAACCACTTAGCGCAGGGCTGGTCAACTGGTCAAGGTCCAGTTGGAGGCTGCTGTTGACCGGCTGGGGACTGGCCCTCTCCCAGCAGCCCGGGGCCCTTGCCCACTCCCATACCTGAGGACAGTGGGGAGGAGCTCTGTGGAGTAGGCCAGGAGCACAGTGAACGACGCGATCAGGCTGAACTCGCCCAACATGACCAGCAAGGTGTACATGGATTTCAGCTCTGTGGTCAGACAAAGTGACCTCTGAGGTGAGGAGGGCCAATCTGCTCTCCAGGAACCCCCCCCACCACCACTCTCAGCCCTCCCTCTGCCCCTCTCAGAAGGCAACTGAACAGTCCACTCCCTGGCCATAGGTTCACTGACGCTTGCAAGCCTTTAGTCAGCGGAGGCTCAGTGTGCCTGAGGCCTGGCCAGGCTGCGATGTGGCCCATCCACGGTGGGAATTAGTCAGTGGCACAGGAAGGAGGTTGCAACGGGACCTCTGCAGCCTCTCAAGCACCCCACACCTCTGCCTGCAGGTTCTCTCCTGCCTTCCACCTCTTCACCCAAAGGGAGCTCCCCCATGGCCCCCTGCTTCTCCGCCCGCATCCACTCAGTGCCAGGCCTGCGTCCTGTGTGCTGGGCTCCCTGCTCAGGGCCCTCCCGCCCTCCGCTTCATCTTCTGTGAGGCAGACAGGGGCAGAAGCTAGACATTCCAGGGTGCCTGACTGGGCAGGCAGAGGTGGACACAGAATGAAAAGGCAACATCCAGGCCTGGGGGGACAGAGAGCTGGATCCCTGCTCACTGACTCAAGGCCGGGAGCTTGCAGCATCTCTTGCAGCCCCTGCTGGACCCTTCCCTAGTGTCATGCCCTATTTTGGTTTCTAATTTGCTTGCCTTTGGAATGAAGTCAAAGATCCAGTTTTATCTATTAGTGACTATTCCTAGTTTCTCTCATACATTTGAGAATGTTAAACATTTGTTTATCATTTGTTATAGGGTCCACTTAAAAAAAAACAGCCCACCAACAATAGAGATGTAATAATAAATTCATTTCCCCACTTAGTTTCAGCCAGTGAACACTGCTGACATCTAGGAGGGGAGGGGTCTGATCAAGACATGTAATTCCAGCCCCCAGAAAAATGTGGGGTTTGAGGGAGACCCAGGGCTACTTGCTAGCCCTGTGACCACAGCCTTATTCACTGTTCTGAACCCACAGAGCGAAGGTAGTGTGCCCCCCCACCCCCTGCCAGGAAGGAGGGCCTCCATACCAGAGCTGCTCCTGAGAGCTTAGCCCCACATTACACTCATTTTTAGGGGGCAGGCAGAGGCCATATTCTCCTGATGAAGTTACAAATAACACACATTTCCAAGCCAGAGTCTACAGATGTGTGGCAAGGCCTGAGGTAGCAGTTGAAGGACTTTTTTATTTTGATAAGAAGCCTTCTCACATGGGCCTCTGAGAGTGTGCAAGCATGTGTCTTGTTGGGGGACCCCCACCCCAGGAGGACCGTGTTCTGGTGACTAGTACCCTCTGGGAGCTCTGGGAAGTGCGAGGGCCCCTGCAGGCCGGGTGGGTTTTGGGTGAGGAGGCTGACTCCTTGGGTGTCTTGTTGACTGGACAGGGCAGGAGGCGTGAAGGCTGGGTTTGAGGAAAAGCAGGAAGGAGGGCGTTGAATGAGCTTTACCTGGGTGAATGAGAAGGCTGATGAAGCACAAGAGAGAGCCTTGGAAGAAAGTGAAAATCAGGCTCCTCTTCCTCCCAACCTGCTCCAGGAGAAAGATGCAGCCTAGCCGGGCGGGCAACTTCATGATGCTGGGGATCAGCGTTGTGAAGTAAATGCTGGTGCTGAAATCCCTTCTCTGGGTGCTCAGCAGACAATAGTTGTAACCGATAGCAAACCTGGAACGAGGGCAGGAGAGAGACCCTCAGAAAACTGCACAGAACTATACAGAAAGGGGAGAGGAATAGAGACCGAGACAAAGGAGAGGGGGCAGATGGGGGAGGCGGTGAGAAATCAGCAGAGATTTGGGTCTGTGGACTCCGCCAGCGTCCTAGGCCCCTCTTTCCTTGTGGCTGGGTCACGCCCCATTCGTGGGTACTCACCACACACATACCATCACCAAGACAAACTTGCGGAGGTAATTATTGCTATAGAAGTCCAGGACAGAGGCCTCAGTCACCTTTTTGCTGGAAAGATGTAACTATAAGACAAACAGGACCAGCCAGACACAGGGCTGAGGCGCCTGGAGGGAATCTAAGACAGCCCACCCAGCCTTGGGCCTTCCCTTCTAAGGTTCAGATTTGTGTCACCATTCTCCTCAAGCAGTGGGCTGGGGACATCCTCTGGGCTGAAAGGAGGAGGAAGAGAGAACTTGCTACAGCCCCTGCCCAGGCCTGCTCCAGGCCCGAGGCTCTTACCTTGTTCAGCAGACTTACAGGAATGGTCTTCTTGTTCACATAAGCGGCATAGCGCAGCACCTTCTTGGCCTCCTCCGTCTTCCCCTTCATCATTAGCCACCGCGGCGACTCTGGGAGGATCCTGCACCACCACCACCTCTCTCACAGATGCCCAGAGACCCAAGTCAGCCCCAGCCCAGCCCCAGCCCATGAACGTGTTGCTCCAGCTCGCAGTGGTCACGAAGTGCCTGAACATTAGGACACGCCAACACTCTGACCGCCCCCAGGCACTGGCATTTGAAAATCTACCTTGACAATCCTTAGTAGCCTGTAATAGGCCTTGTCCATCACTCACTTCGCTTCACTGCTTAGACCCTGAAAGTTCAGAGCAGGATGACAACCGAAAAAAAGCAAAGGTCGGAACAGACCTCAGGCCTTCAGCTACTAGTCAGAGCTAGCTGGCCACCAGGGAGAAGCTGTGAAGTGGATAGAAGATAGAGTCTGAAATTGAACTGGCATGGAAGTTTGCATGCTGGATGATCAAAATGAGACTCATTCTCACAACTAACCATGACTGAAAAGAGACGAAACCTCCTCAGGATACTGGTGTCAGAGAAGGGTCAGAGGACGGGTCACGTCTGAAGTAGGGACTAAAGAAAAACGTGCCCTGGTCAGTCCAGCCCTTTCAACTATCTGTAGAACTATGGAGACAGCTACCAGAAGAAAAAGCTGAGAGTCCAGTGTGATGGTTTCTGGGAAAGGACGCTCTCTTGGGGCTGAAGAGAGCCGAAACTGGTGACTTCTTTTTCATCAGATATTTTGGTGGTACTAAGTTTTTAATCATATGCCACAGTAACATTTTGAAAAAGTCTCCTCAGGTCAAGCGATGAGACATTAATTCTAAACTACGTGACGAGAATCACACTGCCTGGCATCAGCTCACTTCGGGGTATCTCCAGGACCGTCAAAGCTGGCCTCCAGCTTTTGCAGAATTTAGAAGGTCTCGGCGTCGCCGGCAGCCCCACCCCTTCCAGTCCATATTGTGTGTGGTGCGGTGGTTACAAGGCAAGGACTTTGGCATCAGAGAGGCTCAGTCAAATGCCAGGCCTCCCTCTCCACCTACTTGAACTTCTGCACTCCCTGCAGAGACTCCCCACTCCTCCTGCCCTGTCCCCTGAGGTTCAAGCCAGCGTTCAGCTTGGTAAAGATTGAATGGCTTTTCAAGACTAAATGTGGCGTCCGCTCCTTCCCCGCGGCTCCTCTCCTCTCACCACCTGCCCAGCGGGCAGTGCCCTTTTGTGCTTGCTCATGGATCCTCCTCCTCGCGCTCCCTCAGTTCAACCCCAGGTTCCTGTTGTGACTCCCCCACATAAGCAGGACGGGAGCAGACGGCCCTGCTTGGCCCTGTCTCAGCTGCTCAGAGCCGGCATCGTTTTCCCACCTGTGTCAGCCCCTCTCTGCCACAGTCAGCTCCTGCATGGCTCTGCTTTCCCGGCTTCTGCCCACTCCTCAACCCTGGTACCTCCTCCAGGCCACCAAGGCCAAGACCTGCCTTCAACGTTCACCCCGCCCCGGTCCTTGAACTCCTGCCTTTCAGCACCTCGCCTGCTTGTTTTCTGACCACCTCTGACATCTTTGCGAGTGTCCTCTGAGGGCAGTTAATGCCATGGCTTCAGAAGCTGTGCCCCTGATTCATATCTCATCCACATGGGTTTTCTCCCAGGGAAAATTCTACCAGCCCATCTCTTCGAGGTCCCTCCACCCCCCTCCATCCCCAGCTCACCAGACCCCACCCCTGTGGGTGCCCTGTACTTGTTTGCTCACCAGATATAGGCGATGAGGGGGAAGGTAGGGGCTCCCCCCACCAGGAACAGCAGGCGCCAGTGGTGCAGGCTATAGGCAAGCCCTGTCAGGAACATGAGCCCCACGGTGAAAAAGCAGTTTTCCAGGATGATGGCGTGGGCCCGGTGCTCACCCCCCAGCCACTCAGAGGCTGCGCAGAGGCCAAGCAGACAACAGAACAGTTAGGCCAGGGGCCCCAGGCTGCTTTTCTACCTGTTCATGATCTGCCTTGGCCTAGAGATAGTCAGGGCACCTCTGTGCCCCCTGGCAACAACAAGTCCCCTTCCCAAGGCCCCTTGCCTGACCTCCCAATCACATAAACACCTCCAGTCCCTTCTTCTCAACCCGGCTGCTCCCTCTGAAGCCCTGCAGCATGAGGGCAGGCCTCGTTCGTTGAGTCAGCCTGGGTGGGGTGGTACCTCACAGGTGGCGGACGTCAGGGAAGGCAAGGGATCAGTGCCCTTATATTTGCTCTCAGTGCATTCATGCCTCGGCCTCCTAGCCTAGGGCTCTGAGGCGGACCCGGTCATCTGGGCTCTGGCAAGCTTCCAGGAAGAAGAGACCTCCTGCCAGGGGCCCTGCACTGAAACTCAGTTCCTCCACTGCAGCTGCCCTGAGACCCAGAGCCAGCTGCTTAAGTTCCTGAGGCTCAAGTTCCCCTTCAGTTAACTACTTAGGCACTCGGGTGCCTACTACAATACATAACAAGGGCTCAGCACTCACCTGGCCCTTCTTAAGGGTTCAGTGACTATCAGCGAGCTCAAGGTGCAGGTACAAGGGGCGCCAGGCAGGTAAGGAGGTAGGGTAGAGGGTGAGGATGGGAGACAGTCTAGGCACCTACTCGCTGGCGTCTCCAGGCAGCCAGAGGGGGTAGCTCTTTTATAACTTCCTGCCAGCCTAGGCGGGTGGCAACTCACCTGCCCCTCAGCCACAGAGCAGCAAGTGCCAACCCCACTCCCACACACCAGCCCTACCCCCACAGACTCACCTAAAGACACACTGCTGATGAGATAGCCGGTCACCGCCTGGGACACGCCAAAGCGGAAGAAGAGATACTGGCGAAAGCTCTTGACAAAAGCTGTCCCGAAGCCGAAGATGATCAGTCCCAGCAGCGAGAGCAGGATGCAGGGGTAGCGGCCCAGCCTGCGGGCATCAGAGGGAGGCTGCTCCCTCTGAGGCAGCACACGGACCTCCCTGACTGGCCCAAGCCTGCACCGCGAACCACTCCACTGGCCTCCAGAGTGTCCTACCCTCACCTCCCCCAGCTTGACACTCTACAGGTCTGAATGCCCATGAGGAGAAGGCAGGAGCATCCCTGGGACAGAGGGAAATCCAGGAGACTCACCTGTCACTTAGGAACCCAAAGATGATAGATCCTATCAGGATCCCCGACCACAATATGGCCTGCACGATATTCCAGCTGAATTCCTTGTCACACACCAAGTCAAACTGAGGGTTATACACGGGGATTGGCCACTGGCCACTGGATCCAGACACTGAGCTGGCCCCGGGGAGGGCCTTTAGGTAAAAAGGACCCAGGGCAGGCAGGTAACTGTGTGTGTGTGCGGCATGCCTCAACTCTGTCACCTCTGTACCCCACATCCTGCCCCGCACCTGGCAGACTCCAGGAGGTAAGCCAGGAAAGAGGCATGAGAGGCACAGGCCAAGATGGGGTATAACTGCAGAGGTAACTGAACAGAGGCCAGAATCATTTTAGACTTTTTCCAAACGCAGAAGCTGGCCCCAGCCTACTTAGAGATTCAATGGGGAAAGGTCTGTGCTGTGAAGGGCCCAGATTACAGCTTAAGAAAGTCTGTAAGAGGTACCTGATCAAAACTGCCTCTTTCCCTGGTTCCCTATTTGTTCAGGGGGCAGAATCACAGCTGCAGCCACAACTCGCTGAAAAGATGGCAAACCCAGCCATGTGGCACCCATCCCTACCCCCAATCCACTTGAGCAGGCTGAGAGGCTTTCGAGCAGGCTAAGGCTGGGCAGCAGGAATCCTGGCCCTGGCCCTCACTCTCAGGTTGACCTTAGACTAACTGCTGCCCCTCCCTAGCCTCAGTTTCCTCACCTGTCAGTGAGGATGCAGCTGTGGGCCCACGGGATAGTTACAGATAACTCAGGACAAGACTTACCTCATTGATCAGTGATCGCTCCTGGGCATCAGGGTAGATCCACCCATCTTGGCATGACACGGTGTCGTTGAGGCCAAAATGGATGATAGAATCCAGGTTCCAGTTCACAGGCAAGTACATGAGACACGTCAGGAAACTGCCATTGGGTTCTCTGGGCAGAGTCAGATTCAGCTGCTCAGCCTCAGATAGGTTGGGGCCGACGGCCAGTATCCAGCTGGTATTGCAATAGGGTTTCTGGGCTGTGAACACAAAGTGGTCAACAAAAATGAAGAAGGCTGACAGGCTGATGGGGATGAAGGTGAGAGCCACCAGCCTCCGCTGGAATGTGCCAAACTCTCCCACCACATCCAGGATGTGGGCCAACTTGTCATCTTGCTTGGTGTTTAGGGACCTCAGTCTCTGTAACAGTGTCTCCAGCGACCACGTAGGGAAGTGTCCTGATGTTTCATGACTCAGCCTCCTGGGAGTGGAGGCCTTACAGCTGATTTCCTCTGCCATCTGTTCAAAGAAAGGCTGCAGCTCAGTGTCTGCTCATTCCGCCCCCAGGCATGAGTGGCCACTGACCACAATCCTGCCCCTCTGACTTGTAACAATATGGATTGCAACCTTGATGTTCTTTGTAGTTCTCTCTGCTTTGGAAGTTCCTTTGTTAACATAATGTGTTATTATGACCTACTTATTGACTCACTCAACCGAATTTTAGTATACTTAATACCTTTTAAATGTTTTATTTATTTGTTAAAGATTTGTTTAATTTATTCATGCATACAAGACCTGGGGTGGAGGCCAGAATCCAGAGGTGTGGGGGAGCGGGGGGTGGAAGGATTCACCAGAGACAGTGGGGAGCAGAACAAGCAGATCCACTGAAACACACTGCTGAAGAGAACAGCTGGTGAGACAGGAGAGGTCTGCTGCACCATGTGGCCCACCTCCCTGGTTGGGGATCAAACTCATGCCACAGTGGCTGGTGATAACTTGACAGCATTGAGCTGAACTTGGTGCCACCAGGGAGGCCCACTTTTTAAATTATTTTTTTATCTTTTCAAAATATTTATTTATGCATACAGGCCAGAGGTGCAGGGGCAGTGAGAGAATTCACCAGAGACAGAGTGGGGAGCAGAACAGGCCGACTGATGAAGTACACTGTTGAGGGGAGCAGTGGGCAGGTCAGCAGAGGACAGCCACACCATGTGGGTCACCTCCGGGGCAGGGATCGAACTCATGCGGAAGTGGCTTTAGCTTCTTAGTGCTGTGCTTTAACCCACTGTGCCAACAGGCAGGGCCCCCACTTTTTAAATTTTTAAGGCAATATTAGGTCTCTGTTGTCATGGATAAATGAGGTCTCCTACAACTTGGCACATATAATGAGGCATGATTTGTGGCTTGCAAGATAGGAGAGGTCGCTAGGAACAATTCCTTCAAAGAAATTTAAAAATCTGGATAGGGAATGACCAGGAACTCAGGCATGGTGGGAAATTGAAGTCTGGGTTAGAATTGGGGAGCTAGGGTCTGTGCAGAGGAGCTGGTGTAGTGGGGCACCAAAGAACAGAGGCAAACTGGGGAGATGGCTACATTGGCTGTGCTGAGCACACTGCATGTTGAGCACGGTCGATTAAGGCCTTGGAATGGCAGCCTGGAGGGGGAACTAAATTTGAAACTGTTATGCGTCAAAACCCTCAGGGCTGAAGAAGCTCAGCTCTGGGGCACCCCTGGCCTACCAGCAAAAGCAGCAGCAAGTCTTCTCTGAAGGAAAATTTCTCCACATTAAGCTCCCAGGACTTTCAGACAACCCGAAACAGAGATTATCAGACACAAGGCAAGCCATTCTTAGTCAACAGGAACAAGAAAAAAATGGATTTAGACTGAGGATGTTGGAACTTTCTGACACAGATTATAGAACAGTTCCCATACAAGGAATACAGATTTTTTTTTTTTTCTCGCACCTACTTGGAGCATTTGAAATACTTTACCATGTACGAGGCAATAAAACAAACTTCAAAAAATTTTAAAGAACAGCCATCATAAAGATCTGCCTTCTGACTGCGATGCAATTAAATTAGAAGATTAAACATAGCTTTAGCATGCGCTGGTGGTGCAGCAGATTAAAGCACAGCACTAAGAAGCTTAAGGCACTTCAGCATGAGTTCGATGCCCGCCCCAGAGGTGAT